AGTGAGTGAATATGTGAGTCAACATACAATGTTGTTGTGTACTGTCAACTTGGAACCAACCATTGCTGACCCTCCAGTGGGTTTCCAGAGGCAGTAAATCACAAAGGAGGAGATTATCCATCTTTCTTCTGTAGAGCATCTTTTGAATTTGAACCGTGTACCTTTGAGTTAGCAGCACAATTCCTTACCACTAAGCCACTGGAGCTCCCTATAATGTTGTTAGTTAGGTGATTGTATTGGTTTTGACTCATAGCAACCTAGTGTGACAATCCCCCCGCCCCTCAGGGTTTCAGCTTTAATCTTTATGGAAGCAGTTAATAGAACAATAGATCAGGCAGGCATGGTTCTGAGTTCTTTAGTTTGTTTAAATCTAGTATCATTGAGTTGATTCCAATTGACAGCTATCTCACTTTTTATTTATTTTTTTTTTCAACTGTTATGGGCTTTTATTTCTTGACCCATATACTTTCTTTTTTTTTCTATAATTATATTTTATTAATTTTCATAAACATTTACAGAGATTTTGGGCTTCCACTCATTCATTGTTGCACTATTCTCTCTACCCTCCTCCCAGTTTGTTCTTGTCCAAATGCCACAGTGCTTGTCAAAGCCTGTTCTGCTTAATCTTCTTTGTCAGTGTGTCCTTTGCCATTCCCTATCACTCCTCCCTGAGAGAGACTTCACCCTGAGTCATAAGGAAAAGGGGATGGCGTATTCTCTTAGCTACTTCCTGCTGAAAAGGGACGCTGTGGGTTTCAGGGTGAAGATCTTCTCTCACTACTCTAAAGGGCCCCTTTGGCAGTAGGAAACACATAGACTATTATGGAGATTGATTTTGGAATTTAGATGCACTCTTATTGATTGTGCTTGGCCGTACATGTTCATATCCTTGAAGATGTATCATGGGGGTGTTGCAACCTAGAAGACACAAATTTGACTAACAAGTTATAAGTACATGAGTCCAAAAATTATGGAAAAGTAAAAGAAAAGATTCTTTCATTGTTTTACAAACCCTCCCCCAGGTCCCCTCCACCATGTAACCCTCGCTCTAGTCTCCTGTGATGACAGAAATACCCAGTTATATATCTCTTTTAAACAGTTCTCTCCCTCCTCTGTTTCAGTGCAGTATACATTATTGAACCCATCTTACTCATTCTCTCCCCAACCCCAAGGACAGTCCCATTCTACAACAGTGGCATCATGTAATATTTGTCCTTTTGTGACTGGGATATTTCACTCAGCATAATGTTCTCCAGAGTCAACCATTTTGAATAATATTGCATGAGTTCCTTGTTTTTTAATGCAGCATAGTATTCCATTGTGTGAATATACCACAGCTTCTCTAGCCATTTGTTTGTTGATGGGCACTTAGGTTGTTTCCAACTCCTTGCTATCTCACTTTTTAGAAAAAAAATTATTTATGCTTTGTGGTTTCATAACAATTCATTGTGTTTAATAACAATCATTCCCGTGCATTGTGTCTTAAAAATTAATCACCAAAACAACTATGAGATACCATCTCACCCCAGTCAGAATAGCAAAATTTAACAGAACAGCAAGCAACAAATGCTGGCAAGGTTGTGGAGAAACTGGAACCCTTATTCACTGTTGGTGGGAGTGTAAAATGGTGCAACCCCTGTGGAAGGCGGTATGGTGCTTTCTCAAAAAGTTGCAAATAGAGATACCATTTGACCCAACAATTCCACTGCTGGGAATATATCCCAAAGAGACCATAACTGACATCCAAGCAGATATATGCACACCCATGTTTATCGTGGCTTTGTTCACAATAGCAAGGAGTTGGAAACAACCTAAGTGCCCATCACCAAACGAATGGATAGAGAAGCTGTGGTGTGTTCACACAATGGAATACTACGCTGCATTGAAAAACAAGGAACTCATGCAATATTATTCAAAATAGGTGACCCTGGAGGACATTATGCTGAATGAAATATCTCAGTCACAAAAGGACAAATACTGCATGGTGCCACTGTTGTAAAACAGGACTGACCTCGGAGTTGGGGGGAGACTGAGAAAGATGGGTTCAATAATGTATGCTGCATTGAAACAAATGAGGGAGAAAACTGTTTAAAAGGGATATGTGACTAGGTATTTTTGTCATGACACGAGTCTAGAGCGAAGGCTGCTTAGTGGAGTGGACCTGGGGGGAGGGTTTGTAAAACAATGAAATAATTTTTCTTTTACTTTTTTAAGAGGGCAGTGTACTAGGGGGGAGGGTTAGGAGGGGTGAAAAATGCAACAATGAATGAATGGAAATCCAAAGTCTCTGTAAATTTTCATTGAAATTAATAATAAATTAAAAGAAATTAATCACCATTGATCTATGCCCATTTTTACATGGTAATAGATCTCTTCAGATCTCCACTGGATCTTTTCTAATTCCTTTTCCCTCTCCCTCCACCCACCAAACTCTGTGACTATGTTTTCTCCCCCTTCCTGCCCTTAGCCTCTCTATCACCTCCCCATCCCTCTTTGGATATCCATATACGTCTTCCGAGTTATCCTGTTTTTACAATAATGGCTGTATGCAGTATTTGTCCTTAGGGCCTGAGTTAGTTCACTTAGCATAATGTTCTCAGCTTCTCTCATGTTATATAGTATTTTTCGAAATTGTTCCTGAGTGCTGTATACTATTCCATCATGTCAATGTACCACAATTTCTCAATCAAGCTGTTTGTTGATAGACATTTGGGCTGTTTCCATGTTCTTTGTTTGTTTCCATGTTCTTGTGATTGTGAATAATGCTGCTCTGAACATCAGTGTCCAAGCTATCTCATGTGTGTTTTTTTTAAATTTTTTTGAATTTTATTATTTTTTGTGTGTGTACCGTCAAATCGAATCTGACTGGTACAGGAGGAGATTGCCCCTCCTTCTCCAGCAGAGCATCTGGTGATTCAAACTGCACACCTCTGGGATTGCAGTGCAGCTTCTTGCCACTAGGTCACCAGAGCTCCCTGATATCTCATGTTTTATAGAGTGGAATTACTCTATAGTTTTCTTGCCTGAGGGAGGTGGATGGTGCAAATGGTCAAGTGCTCAACTTCCACCTAGAAGATTGGTGGTTCTACCTCCACCTGGAGGATCTGCCTCATGATCTGCTTCTAAAAGTCACAGCCTTTCAACGTCTTTCGAGTAGTTCTACTCTGCACGCATGAGGGGGTTGTAAGTGAGAACTGGAGTGATGATGGCTAACAACTATTTTTATGGAATCATGTTACCAAAACTTTCTTTGATCATGCCACTAGATTGGATTGAACCCCAAGCTTTAAGTTAATAGTCGAACATAAATCTTTGCAATAAAATGACAAGACATAAAAAAAGAGATCTATCAAGTACAACAACAATATATTTATATCTCCAAGAAAAAAAAATTGAACATAAATCATTTATGCAACTCAGGGACTTCTTTAACTCATTGAATGAGGTGTGTTTTGTTTTGTTTTTTTTTAAAGTTAACTAATTTAATGAATGTTGACTTAGTTTTTCTTCCAACAGCCCTATGAAATAGGTACTGCTACTTCCCGTCTTTTCGATAAACTGAGATTAAGTAGTTTTCTGAAAGTCATACAGCTATAAGTATGCAACTAAGATTTAAGCTGAGCATACCTGGCTTCTAGCTCCCCATCCTTGGAAATCTTGACTGCTTTTCAGTAGACTGCCAGACCTGCAGACAGGTGGTCCCATCCTGGGACTCAGTGGATACTTGAATGGACAGCAACAGTAAGGGCCTTGCTTAGGGCTTCTTCGGCCCTTAGACCACTCATTAGTCATCATGCTCCTGGTTTTGAGTCTTCAGGATAAGCAATCAGGAAGTCTTCAAAATCCTTGACCAGAAGTTGTTCAGACTGGCAGCCCCAGTGTTAGCAAGATGATTTTTTGGGAGGAAGGCCTCACACATAGAGCCCAGGAGGGATCACTGGTCGTATTTCCACCTGAGGGTTTGCTCTCTCGGTTTTGATATATTCAGAAGAACTTGAGTAGAAGCAGCCTTAGATTTTTCATAGTCTCTAGAGTGAGGTTTGTGTGGGGATAGATTGTACTAGCTGAGGTGTGCTGCTCAGATCTTTTCCCACGAGGCCCTGCTGAGGTCAAGTTGGTAGATTACCAGCCTCCAGCTTCTGCACCTTTGGATCTGCCAGTGTTCATGCCAAGGCCGTGCTTTTCCCCAGGGACAGAGTGTAGCCATTTCTACCCAGGTAGAACTCCTTTAACATGGACCTTTTCACCTGCCTGGCCACTGTTTTCACAAAACTGTGTTATAACTGGAAGTTCTTTCTAATCAAATCACCTTCCTTCCTTTTCTTCCATCACAAGTATCAGACCTGTATCATGTTGTGAAGACTGTCCTCACCTTCTCTAGTCCCCAGTCTCCTTCATCCATCACAGAGATTTCTACCAGTAGATCTCTTGTACACCTGATCCCCTCTTGGCATAGCTGAACTGACAAAGCTTGAGTAGATCCTGTCTCCAGGGTTGCACATGATCTCTTTGCACAGAGACTAAGGGGAGGGTATTGAAGAGGGGAGCACTTCTCATTCCCCGCCCCTGTTGCTTTTAAAAAGTGAAATATAGAAACTGAAGACATTGGGCGCTTTCTCTTACATGATTATTAGTTATCATTCTGACTAGATACTCACTTTGGAGCCAGTGGGGCTGGAATGAAGTTGTACCATTGGAGACAGACTTATTACTCAAGGGCCTGATAGGTGGTAAAGGGGGTGGATAGTCCTTTGCACTGGTTTCCAAGCCCATCTGTGGATGGAGGCCAGGTTGGGTGTGTCAGTTACCATCGAAATTCTAATTACTAGATCTGGAGAGGAGCCAGGAATAAGCATTTTAGAAAGCTTTTCGGGTGTCTGAGAACCATTAGGCACAGAATTAGAGTCAAAGAGTGCACATCTCTGCCTTGTAGCAAGTCCTTAAACTCCTTTTTATAATCCCTAACGCGTCTTCCTTCTGACGTGCTCTGTGCTCCCTAGGAGTCTCCCAGGACAAGCCCCCCAGAGGAGAAGAAGGATGCTTCTCTCGACTCCAATGCTGCTGGTCCCCCGACGCCCGGCAAGCTCTTGAGCCAGGATGCAGACAGCAGCCTGAGCAGTGCCGATGGCCACGGACAAGAGGGAAGAGAGTCAGGCTCTTGGCACCCTGGAAAAGACCAGAGTGAGAAGAGTGATTCCCAGGCCTCTAGGAGTCAGGCGATGCCCAGCATGCACCCAGAGGGTGCTCAGTCTGCCAGAGTTTCTGAAAAGAAGACATCTGTGGATGCAGGAGAGGAGGGCTTCACGAAGGAAGAAGCTGAAGAGGAGCAAAAACAAAAGGCTTCCACCCAATCAGAGAGAGGATCGGATGTCAGTGAAGTACGTCACCTGTAGGCAGAGGCTGGCTACAACCTGTGCTGTTCTCTTAAGCCTTATGCACATTCTCAGCCCCGCATCTTTACCACTTAGTCAGATGATTCATTTGCAGGCTCTGCACTGAGCTCACAGCATCACCCACAAACCTCAGTTGTGACGAACATGCCCAGATCCAGCAGATTGAAAAATCATGAATGAAAACTCCAACACTGCTGGCAATAGAACTTCACATCACTGGCACTCCCACTCCTTGGGTTATTAATTTCTTCTTCATTCTGTCTCTCTCCCTTCCTCTCTCTCTTCTATACCTTAGCATCAACGTGGGGTCCACAGGGCTCCTGTAGAGGAAGAAGCCTGAGGGAGGTAGCAGCATAGCTGAGGGTATCCGTCCTGCCCACACAGGTAGATCAGGTTATGGCAAGACTCTGTGCATTGATTTCTGGGCTCTTTCTGAACCAACTCAAAACACGAGAGTAGTGTAGTCACTTTGGCAAGTCCAGGACAATGATATCAATGGGCAGAGGTATGCCAGTCTCTCTTTGGCATTTTGGATTTTCTAACCCCTTATCCCTATTCCTTCTCCAGATAGGTGGTGAAGTAATTAATATAAAGAGCATTTTAAAGCTCTTTTTTATAGAAAAGCACATTCATCCTGTTTCATTTAGGATCAGAGCCGACTTCACACTCGCGGCTTTCTAACCCTCCCACTGCACCTGGATCTCCTTACAATTACACAGCCTTGTAGGTCTGATTGAGGGTGTAGCTGTCCAGTCTCAGCCGGGCTGCCCAGCCTAAGGGTAGGGAGTTGAGTGCATGTGTGCAGAGAGAATGAGAGGGTCTCCAGGTCCCTCCATGCTTTCAAGAAGAAGCATTTGCATTTTTTGTTTGGGCAGAGATCTGTGTTGGCACTGCAGTCTGAATGAGATTCCCCAGCGGTCCCCCTCTGCAGCGTCCTCGGTGATGTGTCTGTATCTTTTGTTTCAGGAGCTGGAGGTCAGTGAACGTGTGAAGGAGTTGCAGCTCACCGACTCTGCTGCTTCCAACTCTGAGTCCATCAGTGATCTGGTGAGTTTAAGGTGAGGTAGTGCAGTGATGGTGAAGAGCAGGAGGGAATTTGAGTCCCTGTGGCATTATGCGTTATTATAATAGGTTTTGCTGTTAGTTAAAAGATTGGTGGTTTGAACTCACCAGCCTCTTTCTGGGAGAAAGACGGTTAGTGTTCTCCCATAATGACTTACAGCCTTGGAGTCCTGATGGAGGGTTACCGTGAGTTAGATCGACTCTGCAGCAGTGGATTTCATTTTGGTGGTTAAGTAATTTGCCTCAATACCATATAGGAAGTAAGGGGGTGGTGATGATAGTGGTAGAATTGAAGTTTAGGTTGTGTCTACCTCCAATTTCTCCATCATTAAGTAAGATACTACTACCTGCTTGAACTCTGGTGGCCTAGCAGTAAGGAACTGTGCTGCCAATCTGGAGACACAAGTTTGAACTCAACATTTACTCCACAGGAAAGGATGAGCAGTCTCCTCCCATATAATACATTGTTGTTGTTGATTTCCATCAAGTTAAGCACAAATCATAGTGACCCTATGAACAAAAGGCCTGAAACCTTTATATAGCTATCATCATTTATTAAAGTTCATAGCATTACCAGGGACATGTTGTTTAGGAAGTGGATGTTGCTCCTGCTTCTAGTGTAGTGCCACTGAAAACCTGTTAGTGGGGTCAGCTGTAGGCTGGTTCCAACTTGATGGTACCTAACAACCACCACCACCACCCACCCACTTGATAGCTTTGTTGTGAAAAGACAGTGAGGGAAAGAGCATACAGTATTAGCCTGTATTAGAGAAACATTGGCATTGATTTCATTTATGGAGCCCTGGTGGCACAGTGCAGTGTGCATTGGGCTGCTAATCTAAAAGTTGGCGGTTGAGATTTGGCAGGAGAATGCTCAGTCTCTTGTGAGGATTTACAGCCTCAAAAACCCTTTGAGGGGTCGCTGTGAGTTGGATTCGACAGCAGTGAGCTGGCTGGTTTGTTATTTCTCATTACTATTATGGTTGTGAACTGCTCTTGAGATCAAATGAGTTGCTTCTAAGATGTTAGCTAAACATCAAATACACACACCAGTCTCTCTAGGACGGTGGAGACTAGAATGAGAGAGAGAGAGAGAATGAATAAAAGAAAGGGAGAGAGAACATGAGGGAATGAAAGTGAGGGAAGGACATCGCTGAGCTGTGGTGTGGACCAGCCCCCAGTCTCTGAGCAGGAGTGATGTTGTGATGGTTTTATTTCTAAACTCAAATCTTTGTCCTGAAATGCCAGCATCTTTGTCCCAGACCTTCTACCCAGCCTGCTGTGTCCTGGTTTCGTTTGCCAGGTCCATATCTAAGGGGAGTAGTTTGGGGTGCTGTTTTGGCAGAGCATCGCCTCTAGAAACTCTCCTCCATCTGTTTGGAGGAGACAGATCAAAGGGAAGGGATTAATGGGAGAGGGTCAGGGATGAACAGTAATGATTTGAGGGGGGTGCGGTGGAATTAGAAGGCTGTATGCTCCAGCCCCTCACTGAGCCGTGGGCTTAGGAGGCAGATGGCAGCTGCATTAAGTGGAGTAGAACTCAAACTGAAGGGAAAAATGTCACCAGAAAGAAGAAAACCCACACACTAGGAAGAGAAGGCAAAAAGTCATTGTTGTTGGCAGAAACCATCCATGAAGAATAGCCTTGTCAGAGAATGCTTTGAAGCAAGGGGTCCAGCCCTTCCACATGAGTCACCCACGTGGAGAAAAGTGCCCATCAGCATTTTTCTTCTCTCTGGGAGTGGATCGAGAAAGCCATGGACAGCAGGACCAGACCTTGGCTAGGCAGCTCTCCATTAATCAAGGCTGATGACAGAACTGTCCCCATTAGCGTGCTGTCAGGTAGCAATCCTTCACTTAGCCCAGCAGGGATCGCAAGCTCTGAGGGGTGGGATCATGGTCCTGTGGCAGCCGAAGGGCAGGCGGGAGCTGGCACCGGCATGGGCACCTGCCGTTTGTAGAGGAGCAGCCGCTCATTAATCCCTATTGTCCAGAGGGATGCAGGCCAGGAACAATAAGGAAGGAGCTGGGATGGGCCCACCAAACCTTGTTTCTAGGCTGCCTGTAGGTTTTTCTGGGCTCTTTGGCCTCCTTCTGGTGCCCTGGTTGGACACTGGATGGGGAGTGACAGCTGGGGAGTGACAGGTTGTGTCATGGAAAATGCTTGGTGTTTGGAGTCAGCCCAGGGCACGTATGACCCTGGGCCCCCTGCTTATCTGCTGGGTGACCTTGAAAACCTGTATCCTCATCTGGAGGAGGCGGCACAAGTGTCAGCCTTTCCGCATTACTCCCCTCCCCCATCATTTAATTATGAACGTTTTCAAACATGCAGATACTTTAGAAGAACTTTACAGCAAACGCCCATGTACTCACTGCCTTGAGTCTGCAATTCACCTTCTCCCATACTTACTTTATCACTCATCTGTGCATCTATTCTCAGGGTTATTTGGGAGATTGAATTTATTAAACAGAAGCCAAACCAGTCAACATCAGATTGATTCTGATTCATAGTGACCCCTTAGACGTGCCCCATAGGGCTTTCAAGGCTGTAAGTCTTTACAGAGCAAACTACTACATCCTCCTCCTGAAGAGCAGCTGGTGGATTCAGACCACCAACCTTTCGGTTTGTAGCCAGCCACTTAACCACTGCGCCACCACATAGCAGGTGCCTCTCTGCTGGGTTGGGAGTGGGGAGGGTGAGCCCTGCTGGTCTTCCCGTTTCTTTGTCCTAGGACTGCGGTTTTCGCAGCCGGATCACCGAGCACCTGCTGGATGTGGATGTGCTTTCCCCGGCCCCAGAGGGAGCCCGCTGGAAGGTGAGTCTCTCAGTTGGGGCCTCACTCTTCCTGGAAGTGGCCTTCTGGAATAGGCCAGAGCTGAGCCTGCCTTTTCTGGGCTTTCTCTAACTTCTTGTTAATTTGAACAAGATCCTGACTCTTGTGTGTCTTTGATGAAGTTTCTGACTATTGCCAGTTGGTTGCTGCTGTGAATGAAGCATTTTAAACTTATTTGCCTCCCTATTTCTCCATTTGTTCAGCAACTGAAGATTGCCTATTCATATGTCCTGTAGTTTGTGAGGCTGAGATTACAAGTCTCCTCACTCGGCCCTTGTAGCCTGCTTTCCTCCTCAGCCTGCTTGCAGCACACTTGCCATGTCCCACCACTCGACATTCCTGGACACGCTGTCCACTTCTTTCCCTCTGTCCCCACCAGCTCGTTCTCAGTCTTAGAGATGCTGACATCACCTCTGAGCAGGATGAAGCGTTCCCCTCTGTTGCTCTTCTGAGTGCTGCTGTTTTGCTTTGTGGTTGTCTGTCTCCTCTTCACATGTAAGCTGTGTGTGGATGGGTGTTGTCAGATCCAGCACAGGGTATAAGCTGACTCAAACAGGTTCTGTCTCTAAGGAGCGGAAAGAAAGAAGATAATTTTTTTTTCTCTTCTGTGGGTTTGGTAAGAGATTCTGGCACATTGGCTCTGCAGGTTTGAGAGAATGTTTGGTTTGAGTGAAATGAAAATTTTGTGGGGTATGACAAACAAGAGTGATTAATTTAGTCCAAGATTAGACATCCTTAGCAAAATGAGGTCTGGAGATGGGATGATTTTCAGGCCAGTTGCATTTATTTGAGCACCATGTGTTCTTCTCAGCTGTGGGCTATTGCCTAGCTACCAGCTCCTGCTGGACTTTGGCCACCCCTGTTTGCAGGCCCAGAGGACGTCAGAGTACAGTCATGGGCAGTTGGAGCAGGTGACTTGTGAGGCCATTTGTCATTGAGTGAGTGGGATGATGGTAGGATAGGCAGTGGGGGTGGGTTTCTGTTGCTCTGGCTCAAAGAACCTGGCCACTATCAGAATTACTTGGGAATACTTCTAGAAGACAGACTTCTAGGTCCTACCTAAGACTTAATGAGACCGGCCTGCCTCTTCTTTGGGTCTGCCGCTTTGCGTAAAGCACCAGTAGAGTCTGGCTGGTTTTGGTTCTCTCTTGGCAACTCCTGAGGCGGCCAAGGCTATAGCAGGGAAAACTCCATGCTTTACCTCATGACCAGGCACTTGGGGTGTGGGCAGTGCTGGGTATTCAGTGGGGCTGACCAGAGAGAGCCAGGTGGGAAGGTCAGCCTCTACCTCTCTCCTGTCTTTAGACAAGACAGGCCAAGCAGTGAGGTGGAGCTGGGGGTGTGAGCAGCCGTCCCTGATGTCCTTCCCACAGGCTTTTGCTCACTATTATTTCTGTTTTTACTGAAACAATTTCTACATGTCTAGTGCATGACACTGAGTATGTTTTTCAGGTTGTGTAACCATTCTTGTGATTCTTTTCAAATCATTTCACCACCATAAGGCCCCTAAGCAATCCCTTGTCTATTTTGCTCAGTCTTCTCTTACAACTGAGCTGAACAATTTTTTGTTCATCATTTTAAAAAGTTGTATAAGTGACAACTAAATTTTATATATTAAAATTGAGTCTTTTGATAAGTTTTGGCATATATATATATGCAGGAGTAGCATCTACTTCCTAAACAACATGCCTCTGAAAACTCTATGAACTTTGAGAAATGTCCGTGGTTGTAGAGGAGCTTCAGGCCTTTTGTTCATAGGGTCACTATGAGCCGTGCTTGACTCGAAGGCAGTCAACAACAACAGCGTGTGTGTGTGTGTGTGTGTGTGTGTGTGTAGAGAGTATGAATTGATCATAAATTAGAAAAGTGATGACGTAATTATTTTAACTAGTACAGAAGGTTAAATCCCTTGACTTCTTGCAGATGAAAACTAGCAATAGTTTCTAATAGCATTTTTTCTGTACATTTCCATAAAATTTTCTCTGTGCATATAAACATAAATCTGTTAGATTTTCTGGATAGTTCTTCCCTCCCTAAATCTTTTTCCCCTTCAAAAATTGGAATTGTATTACAAAAACGGCTTGGTGGCATATTCTGCCTTACCCTCTTTCGTGGCTGCATAGTATTCTGCCCTGTGTCCATGTACCATAACTTATTTATCCAGGGACAGTTTTATCAGAGACAAAACCCTGGAGCTGGGTTAAGGGTGTGGAAATGGTGTCTTAAACAGCTGATCCTTGGCCAGAAGCTTAGAATGTCTTGCTCTCTCCCCTTTCCAGCTGATGTCCTCATCTGGTTCCTTTGAGGCATTTGGGAGCAAAAAGGTCTAGGAAAACCATTTAACTCTACAAACGGACCATCTGTCTGGGTATTTTCCTAGGATGCCCCTTTTTCTTTGGTGGCAGTGGTAGTGGAAGGCTCGCTCAGTTAGTTCCTCATAGAAGCGGAGAAAAAGGAAACCAGGAGGGAAGAGGCAGACGGCTTTTGTCTGCAGCTGGCCCTGCGCTCTGCTGCCTTTCTCTTTATCACATGTGCCTTATAGCATTTCCATGACTCGGGCATCGGCTCCCCAGTTTTCATTAACAATTGTCCAGCTTTCTACCTATCCTCATACATTTTCATTTGTTACATGGAATTGGCCTGTGTGATCACCCCCCCCACCTTATAAAGTGAGAGAAGAGTATTTGGTGGGCTTGGTGTGATTTGTCGCAAAAGGTCGTGCATTTGAACAGCCGAAGGGTAAAGAGGTGGGTGGGCGTGTGGCCTGCAGGCTCTACCCAGGCTGATGCGATCAGGAGTGGCAGCGCTGGCAGGGAGCCCTTCTGCTGCGGGCACAGGGGGGTGTGGGGGGCTCATGAGCAACATGCCTGTTTTTAATGGAATCTCAGGAAGCCGGGCTTTAGTTCAGGCCCTGCCCACCCTCCATCTCCCATCCAGATGGCAGCGTCAGCCCCAGCTGTTGGGCACAGGCTGCCATTGGAGAGGTGGGGGTGCTGTGGGCACAGGACTGGGGACCCCACTGGGGAAGACAGAGTGAGCTGTCGCCTGCCCCACCTCTCCTGCTAACCCTGGTGTCCCAGAACAGACGGGACCCCTGTCAGTGACAGAAGGAGTGCTAGGCCTGGTATGGGGGGGTGGCAAAGCCTTTCTTATTTTTTGTTTACTTGTTTCCTTCGGCTGAGAGAGAAGGGGGAGAGGAGTGAGGGGAGAGGAGTGTGGGGAGAGGCGCTCACTTTGGTGGCATGCCTTCTTAGAGCAAGGAGTTGTGTTTTCAGTATGAGGTCCCATTGCATCCTCACAAGAAGCCCCCTGCGCTGTGGCTTGTGATCCCATTTCACAGTGGTGCAGACACATGTCCAGGCAGGATGTGCTGAGTTCAGGCCAACTACATGGCCACAGGAATACTTCTCTTCCCTTCCCCAGCTTGCCAAAGTTGCCTAGACTCCCAAAGTTTAAAGTACACTTTTTTAAAAAAACTCGATTTAAAAAAAAAAAATCTCTATCTTGGAAAGTATTTCATTGTCTGTGGTGGGAGTTGGGTGCTTGAGGGGTGTCGGATGGAGCTGAGGCATCCTTTGCCTTCCTCCGCCAGTGCCTACATGGTCCCTTTTCTGTCTGGGTGTGACTCTCTTGTTCCATCAATTCTTCATCTCTCCAAGGATCTTCCTCAATAATGTATTTGCCTTTCACCATCCTCATGTATCCTTAGCACTGGGAAGTCTAGAGTTTCCATGGATTTGAGGTGTGCCCACATGCGTCTGCTTTCTCTTTGCGGCTGATGGTGAAGGCTTCCAACAGCAGGAGGCAGGATTTTCTTTCCAAATGTTGTCCTTCAGCTTCTGGCTGGCTTTGCATACCATGACAGTGGGTGTCTGACTCAACCTCAGGCCAGCAGGCAGGCCCCAGCTGTGGGGCTGGGGACTCAGCCAAGGTCCTGGGGAGCTTCCCTGTGCACTGGACAGGCCTTTTGTTTCATGTCCTGTGGGGTTCCTACCCACTCCACAGCCAGCACGGTATACTCTACTATGCATGGGAGCCAATAGGAGGATCACAGGGTCCAAACATGACTCTTCTAATAAATAATTTCCATTGCTTCTTGCCTGCAGACCCAGGAGTTGTTGAAGGAGGAAAAGGTCTACAACCACTCCAGCCAGCATGAGCTGCAAAGCACGCAATCCAAAGGCTCCAAGAGGTATAGTATGTGGGAGGCTGCCTCAGGAACCTGAGAGGTGGCCTTTGAGGTGGCGTGGACATGGGCGGAGCTCCTAGCTTTGGGCTTCACAGCTTCAGTGTGCTGCTGCCTGGAGACAGGTGATGAATGGGCTGGGCGATTTGCAGCACATGTGTGTCTGTGTTTGTGTGTACATGTGTGTGCATGCAGGAGCATCCTGCTTTCTGATTCTGCACCAGCAGTGGGATGTGAAGTATGTTTGGTAGAGACTTTGCACACTTGGAACCAGATTGTTGATTCAGCTGGTGCAGGACTGGCCATGGATCAGGGCTGAAGCAGCTTGCTGGTGATCTGAGGAAGCCATACTGGCGGGTCAGCCCTGCAGCTCAGAAGCTCCGACGAGGGACCTACCATATCAGAAATGGCAGCAGATGACTGTGTGTATGTGTGACTCTCGCTCTGCCTGCTCTCTCCAGGTTGTCTCCTTTACTTCTGCGTGGGGAGCAGCTCCAGAGTCCCCCTCCCAGCCAGGCCTCTGGAGGAGGGTCTGCACAGGGCACTGAGGGGCGGCCTGAGCAGAAAGAGACAGAGGAGCCCAGGGAGGACTCCATTCCCAGTTCCCCACTGCCGATTTGCCTCCCAAGGTATGAGGGAGTTGAGGCTTTTAGAGAGGTGGTGGCCTGTCCTGGTGTATGGTTGACTTGTGTGCTGGGGTCAAGTTAGCAAAGAAATGGGGTGGGCTTGGAGAGGAGAGCAGACGTGAGCTCAGGCAGCAGCAATAGAGATTTCTGGTTAGCATCCTAATAAGAATTGGGAATGAAGGGACCTGCTTTTTCTTAGTTCTCAGTTAAGATTTAAAACTGGGGCCTACAATCTGATTAGGGGAGTTTAAAAACTCTTCTGTGAGGAAGTGTCTCTTCTGCCCCACCTGCCTCCTTGCTTGAGGTTGGGGCAGAGGTTCAGCTGTTGCCCTGGCCGCTCTGTTGTACCAGAGACCCCTTTCTCCAGCGTTCTCCCTGACAGCACCTTCCCCCAGCATCCCTCTCTTTAGTCATCCAATAAACCCATATGCCCTTAGGTCCCAGGGGCACAGAGGTGTGGAGCCCCCTACCTGAGGTCAACTCGGAAGAGCTGGCCCAGAGTCTGGCATGCATTTGCCAGCTCTGCTACCTGGTGAGAGATTGATGCTCGTCTTAGACGTCACAGTTAGAATGCGTCACTGGGGGAGGTGAGCAGCAGCGTATTTAATCAGTGGCATCCATAGAGCTTCTCCTTGGTGCCATAACCAGTCTGCTTCCCAGGGGGGAACAAGTCTCTAGTCTTCAGAGTAAACATCTGGGGAAGAGACAGGGCAGGGAGTGCGAGGTTTGAGACCCGAGGGGAGGAATCTTGGTTGGGACTGACTCCCTTGTCCCCATCACAGCTCATGTGACCCCCAAAGGAGATGACCTTTGGGCTGCTCCCCTTCCTAATGGCTTTTCCACAGTTGCTTCTTTACTGTTATCAAGGGAGCAGATCCCAAGCCCACCTGCTGCCCATGAGGGAGACGTGAAGCGGCGCTCTGAGGTGGAGGAGCCGGAGCCTGGGCAGGAAGAGGCTGAGGAGCAGGGGGCGACTGGCCCCATCCTGCCAGACTCTGCCGAGGTGTAAGGGCCAGTTGTACTACGTCTGCCCCTGTCCTCTGTGTGAATAGATGCTTTAGGGGTCCGAGTACTCTGGGGTGGTGGGGAGGGGTGCCCCCAGCTCTGTCTGGCTCAGTGGGTACAGTGTGGGGGATGTTGAGAGTGCATATGATGTGCTGCATACGGCCTTAGAGTCCCAAGCGCTAGTCACTGAGCCTCATGTGGGGATAGCTTGAGTCAGAAGAGCTGCTTGTCAGGAACTGAGCTGTGAAGGTAGAGGTGAGGGAGGACCCCCTACTTCAGTGGTAGAATACTTGTTAGTTGTGAATTTTTTTTAAAAAAGATTTTTATGGAGATATAACTCATATACATGAGAGGTTTAATTTCTATACTCTGAGTCTGAACTATACAAGCCCATGAATTTGAATACGTATACACACCATGAAAGAAGCACCCAAATTTGATAGAGAACACTTCCGTGTCCTCATGCTTCACCTTCAGTACCACCAACCTGGACACCACTGTTCAAGTTTCTCTCCCATAGTTTTTCTAGTTTCCACTACTGTAAACGAGATTATATAGGACCTGTCTTTAGTGTCTGGTTTCTTTTGCTCAGCAAGTTATCAGGCTCATGTTTTGCATCGAGCTCTTCTAAAGTTTAGATATTGCTTAGCTTTTCTCCTTCCATTCTTACCCTCTCCTCTACAGATGAGGAGACTGAGGCTTAGAGAAGTGAAGAGATTTGCCCAAGGTCGCATTGCTGGTTGGCTTCAGAATGAGGACTAGACTGTGCTCAGCGGAGCCTGGACTTCTGGCCTTTGTCTGCAGCCACCTTTCCTTTTCTTTATGTGGAGAGTGGCAGCTGTCATGATTTGAACTGAGCAGGTGCAGAGGAATTAAGAGCCCTCAGAGCTCGGGGCTGACCCTCGAGCAGAGCCAGGCTCGTGATCTGATTACCAGTGTCATGCAGAGCTGGCAGGACATACGAAGTCTCAGATCCCGTCTTTATAACATGGTAGACGGTAATACAGGGAAGGGCTCAGCCCACTTCTCAGACGATGAGACCCCCTAAGGGGAGCTGTGACCCCGAGGAATCACAGGCTTTCCTTTCTTCAGTGGCTGTGGACCATATTGGGGTTGACCATGGGGAGACTGGGGAGGTGAGCCTTAGCATGCTCGGTCAGCGGCATCCAGTGCACACGTGTGCTGTGTAGGTCTGCTTCTTTGTGCCATAACCACTCTGCTTCCCGGCGGGGACACGGGTCTCTGATGTTAATGCCATCAGCTGGGCCAGAGGCAGGGTGAGGAGAGTGAGGCCACCTGAGGTGGAGAATCTTGGTTGGCATTATCTCCCTTATTCCCCTCACAGCTGTTTCTATAGGGACAGGAGGCAGATGTATGTCAAAGAGGGGGTGACCAAACCAGGGCCAAAGGGGCATCTCCCCAGGTGTGACCCCTCGAGGTGGGGGTGCTGGACAGTGAGGCTCAGGCTGGGGCCCAGGCTCCCTCAACTCCTCGCCATCTGCCTTGGCTGGTTATTCTCTTGGCTTTGTGTTTATCCCCCTTCCTAGTGAGGCTCCCCTTGCTGGGGGCTCAGAGACACTACTTGGCCTTGAAGTTTATATCTACACACTGCCCTGAGGACATGTCTGTTGTACTTTCCATGAGCTTTTTCAGACCCCATAACTTTCTTGTTATTAATCTTCACAGCTACCTATGTAGAATCGATTGGATTCTGGAGAGAGGTCTTTGTCAGCTTCCAAAGATGTAGTGAGGCTGAACCCAAAGGGGTGAGGAGTGGAAAGCAGCAGGGAGTAGGCCAGATTAGGAGAGTCACCAGTGCCAGGATGCTGTGTAGCCAGGATACTGGGGAGTGGGAAACAGGACCCCCCTCCCTTTGCCATCCCAGAATCTTCCATTAGGATTTATAGAGGGCAAATGAATGCAAACCACTGGGTTGAATATGAAAGGAGAGGGATCGCTTTGATTCTAATCCAGGCTTTCATGAACTCTTTCTGTACTAGTACGCTCCTTTCACCTTTTTTCTGGGGTGCCTTTCTTTTCCTCTCTCCCTGCCCCCCACTCCTCCTTGCCTTCCTTCACATGCCTGGCTTTGTGGCCAGTCTGTAACGGTGATGCTCCCACAGAACCTCTTCTTTGCCAGAAACTGCTAGAAAATGGGTCTCATTGCTGCTGATACTTGAGGAGAATGGCCTAGAAATCAGACTTGTCTCTTCCTCTGGTGTCTTTGACTTCCCGCTTGTCTCAGAGATCTTTCGAGGACACCGTTTACTGCCTTGGGCCTAAGCCGGGCATTGGAGATACCAGATCTAAGTCAGGGTTGGAGAAGAAGCCCGTTGAAAATGACCCCGTTGCCTGCATGCCAGGTGCGCGCACACATGCTCACTGGCGCGTGCAGCCTGGGTGCACACTGCCACCCGCACCGATGCCCATCACTCTGAAGCATCTGTCCCTGGGGCTCCACAGAGCTCCGCAGTCCGCAGGGAAGAGTGACATTAAAAGGTACCATCTCAGGGAAAAAAAGATGTTTCCAGCCAAGGTTGGAAATGAGCTGGAGGGTTGATGAGGCGGAGAGCTGCAGGGGGAGGCCCTTTCCTAGGGTGGGATTCTCAGCTGCGGTGGCAGCAGCAGCTCTTGCATCTGCATTAGTCAGACTGTGTCAGGGAACTGAGAGGAAGCTGAGGTTTTTGAAAGTGGGGAGGAGATGGGGACAGAAAAGAAGTGAGTGTAAAGTTTGTGACCGTTTCTGGTCTGAGCCGTGTTTTGAGTAAGCAGGGAAGGGAAGGTCTTAAATTTCAGAGACATCACCTGCCTTACTTAAGAGCCTCTCCCTGTCCTCACGGGCCACAAGTGGAATCTTTAGCCCTTGTTTTTTGTCTGTTGTTGCTCCGGTCCTTCCTGCTGCCTTCGTCTCTTGTAGCTCTGGAGCTGAGAGGGAAAGAAGGCTGGGTTCCCAGTAGAGATGGCTGGGTCCCCCTGATGACTCTTGCCATGGTCCTCTGACTTGGGCCGTGCCCACATAGTCCAGTTGAAGTCACCCAGGCCCCCATGTCTGGCTAGTAGCCAGCTGCCTGAATGTGAGTGTGAGAAGTGTGACAATTGTGTCCTGAGACCATTTTCTCACCTAGTTTGGGTACCTAGAATTTCAAACATAGACTGGCCTTCAGGGAAGCCTTTCTGGGAGGCTAAACACTGCTTATGCAGTCATTGCTTAGAACATTCTCAGAGTCTAGGCATATCCCTTAAGAACCAGAATAAACAGCCTTCATTCTTTATTAGATGTCTTTTAACCAAGAGTTGTTATTCTTTCACTTGTTCAGTGTAGGTTAGTTTAGAATATCTCTTACTTGTTTCTAAACATTGAATTTCTGGTTGTTGTTACTGTTATGTGCCATCAAATCACTTGCAACTCATAGTGACCCTACATACAACATCCCTAAACCCTGCTCTATCCTGTGCCAATCTTACTGTCTCTGACTCACCTACCCCCATAACCCCAGTTAATGAATCTATCGATTGCATCGAGGGTCTTCCTCTCCTGCGCTGTCCCTCCACCCTCCCAAGCATGACATCCCTCTCCAAGGACTGGTGTGTCCTTGTAACATGTCCAAAGTATGTCAGACGAAGCTTCAGAATCCTTGCCTCCAAAGAGCAGCCTGATTTCACCCTCTGGAGGACGAACCTGTTCGTTTTCTTAGCAGTCCATAGTACATTCAATATTCTTGTCCAACACCACAGCTCAAAGGCATCAATTCTCCTATCCTCCCTAGTCATTGTCCAGCTCTCTGATGCATAGCAAATTATCTGCAAGACCTTGGCCTGTATCAGGTGCACCTTAGTCTCCAGACTGACATCATTGCTCTTGAGTACTTTGGAGAGGTCTCTGAAAGCAGACTTGCCCATTGCAATGTGCCTTTTAATTTCCTGGCTGGTAGTAGACAAAAATGTACCATCAACTGGGAGGTCTGGAGCCACAGCCCTCCCGTTGAGTTCTTGCTCCTCTTCTTGCTTCAGGAAGGGTGCCCTGCCTGCCCCCCTTAACAGTGTAGTAGAAGAGTATCCTGTTCCCACATTACAGGCAGGAAAGTGCAGGAACTCTGGGGGCTACTCTCATACCCAATACCAGAAGATAAGCCGCTGCTTCGCCAGCCAGCTCATATGCATTACCTCTGTTCAGTTGGAGAGGCAGACAGCAGCCTCTGGGGACTGTCCCCAAATTTTTAGCCTCAACTAGCAGACAGAGTCCTGGTAGGGAGATGGAGACAGGGCAGTGAACCACCTGAAGAAGAATCTGCCAGGGATAGAACTTGACTCTGTCCCTGATGCTGTACAGCTTCAACATTTTGACCTCAGGCTACAATATACCAGATTTACTGAGAGCTTAGGATGGACCACCCTTCCCCATAGGCTTTGGCGCCTTAGACATCTACAGTGAAGCTTGTCGTTAGAAACAAATGTGGGGAGTAGCCTGTGTCCATTGGGTGACCGGACTTTCATGTATATCTCTTAACTGTAGTGTCCCCCGTTAGGGTTCCACACTTTGATGCTCTGTGTCTCTGCAAACACCAAAAGGTAGTAGAAAGCAATACTACAATTTTGTGCTGTTTTCTACCCGTAGAAGGCAGTCTCCAGAGTCTGCGGCTCCTCCAGAGCAGCTCTCAGAGGCTAATCAAAAGGCCATTGAAGAGGCAGTGGCTCAAGAACTTGAGCAAGACCAGAAGCAGCTGCTGGAATTGAGGAGAGAGAGGATACAGCAGCTGCGGGAGAAGCTGTGGAAAGAGGAGGAAGAGGAGATCCTTCAGCTTCACCAGCAGAAAGAGAAGTCCCTCAGGTCCTGCTCCTCCCCTTAGGCAAGCTCTTCAGGGCCTGTCAGTCATGGGGTGGGGGGGTGAGGTGCACCCTTCTCCCACCCGTGATGTCCGTGACCCCATGATGACTACTACTCAATGGAGGAGGAATGAGATATGTGGCCAGGGCATGTGCCCTTCCATGTTTCAGGAAGATGTTGGGAGACGTGCTGGTAATGGGAGCTGTTGTTGTTGTTGCACACCAGAGTCAGAACCGACTCTCCACTGGGTTTGCAGGGGCAATAATTGGCATGGGAGGAGATTGCCCATCCTTCTCCGGCATAGCAGCTGGTGGATTTGAACCGTGTGCCTTTGGGATTGCAGAGCAGATCCTTACCCCTGGTCCACTAGAGCTAGTTACTGTTAGGTGGCATCAAATTCGTTCTGGCTCACAGTAGCCCTGTTACATGCAGTAGGTCGAGACACTGGCCGCCCCGCCCCTTTCCTCCAGTGCTGTGTTTGAACCTGTTGTGGCAGCCGCTGTGCCAGTCCATCTTGTTGAGTGTTGTCCCCTATTTTCTGCTGGCCCTCTACATTAACAAGCATGATCTTCTCCTGGGGATGATCATTGATAACGTGTCCACAGTACGTTAGATGAAGTCTTTCCATCCTCCCTTCCAAGGAATGTTCTAGCTGTTACTGTCTGAGACAGATTTGTTCTTCTGTTAGTCAGTATTCTTCGACAGCACCTTAACTCAAATGCATTAATTCTTTATTCCCCACCCCCCAGCCTTCTTTATTCATTGTTCAGCTATTGCATGCTTATGCTGCAATTGAAAATAGCCTGGCTTGGGTCCATAATCCTCCAAATTACATTTTTTTGCATTTTAACCCCATAAAGAGGTCTTGATGACACAGTGATTATGTTTGACTACTGAGTAAAAGTTTGGTAGCCCAAATCCACCAGCTGCTTCACTGGAAAAAGATGTGGCATCTGCTCTCAGGAAGCTTTACGTCCTGTAGGGTCACAGGAGTCAGAGTCAGCGTGAGAGCACATTTGGAAGAGAGGATTGTTGACTATATACATATTAATTTGCTTAGTCCACAGAACGGCTCTGAGGTATTAATATCAATCCCATTTTATACATTTTGCAATACAGAGAAAGAAACTGAGGCACAGAAAGGTCAAGTAACTCATCTGTGGGGCTATAACTAATAAGAGGCAGCCAATATTTACCTAGGCAATTTGCCTGGAACTGTTTTGTTTTTCTTTTACTTAATACTCTCTTCTGTTTTCAGGTAAGGTTTCTAGAGTACTGTAGATTCCCTTCTTTGTAAAGTAATTGATCAGAGATTGTACAGAGATTTTTTTAGAGAGATTGTTCGTGACATTGATTTCTTTTATCATGATGCATGTGAACATTGCCATTAAGATTTTCATTAATCTCGCTTCCCTATCCCGTTACACTCTCAGCTTTGTTTTTAAAGTAATTGTAGGCTGCTTGGTCTCATATAGATGTGTTGGGTTTTTTAAAAAAGTGCACAGCTTTGAACAAGTTATATTCTTTATTTTGTGAGATAACCTGATATTTAGTGAAAGGATAACTACAAGGGCATGTTTTGGTTTGAAGTTGAAGGAGTGTGAGAAGGCAGTAATCCCAGGGTGTCCAGCAGGCACATAAGTCTGATTATTAGTTGTTTAGGAATATAAGGTTCAGTTGTCTCATTCTCTCAGGACCCATGTCCTATGGTCCTGGTTAGGATGGCTGTAGTAGCAGCCAGGTACCATCTAGCTCTTCTGATCTCAGAGTAGATGAGACTGGTTGATAGGCACTGTTAATCTCGCAGTCTTGTTTCTTCTTTCCATCTGTAATTTTGCTGTGCACAAGTAGAGGTTTCTGAGATAACCTTGGAACCTGCTTTCTTAGCTACTTCCTTAACTTTTAAAGGAGGAGTTCTGTTGGGTGTTATCGCCCTGTTTGAATTCAGTGAGACTATAGGGACCACAATCCTGATCAAGAACCAGAACCTTCTATTTCAGTTCCAACTCTTGGCATTGCTGGCTTTACACATGAGGTGGACATGTGCTATGAGATTGTGTGTGTACAAAAAGTAAGATGTTTGTTTTTGTTATAGAAAAAGGCACCCTAGGGCTAGTATAGTGTCTCTACAGAATCATCAGGGCCCAGTCTCCTTTATTCTATTTACTCTGCCATCTTTAATGCAGATTTTTACTGTCAAGTTGTCTTTATGGTCCAGTATGACTGCAGGAGCTCCAGCCATTGTGTCTTTAGGTAGAATAGGGATAGTATACAAAAAACACCTTCTATTTCAATCAGCCTCTTTTCCTCTTTTATTTTTTAAAATTATTTTAATTCTGATTTTAATAAACATTTACAGACAAGTTAGATTTTCATTCATTCATTGTTGTACATTTTACTCCCTCACCCTCCCTTCCTCCTGCCTTAGTTCACACCTCTTTTAAAGGAGTTTTTCTGGAAATGTTATCTAATAACTTCTGCTCATATCTTATTGATTAACTCTAGTTGCAAAAGAAACTTGGAAATGAAACCCCTTAGCTGGGCCTGTTTTATTAACAGAATAAAATGATTGTTCTGTTAGCAAGGAAAAAAAGAAAAGGAGAATGGATATTAAGACGGTAATAAGTAATCTCTACATCCAAAGATGGGAAAGGTAATACAAGAGCAGTAATACATTTAATTTACTTGGCAGTTTAACTCAAGGCTATATCTTGTCCTTTTAGATAGAACTTCTAAGAATAGTATAGGTTGCTTTTTATACTTTTCCGAGAAATTGTCTTCCTAATCATGTTTGTCTTGGACGTGAGTTCCCTGAGGGAGCAGCAGTTTTCTTGGTGTGGAGACTCTGTAAAGGGGTAAGCTACTAAAAGGAACATTTGTATAGGCAGTGGGGTGTCCGCATGGGTGAGACAGTCACTTCTGTTGGTGTGGGAGCTCTGGTGCTGCAACAGTTAAGTGTTGGGCTGCCAACGGAAAGGATGAGGGTTTGTACTCCCCTAGCACCTTGTAAGAGACCTAGCTTGAAGGTGATAAGTTATAATACCCGATGGAGCTAGTCTGCTCTCTCACGTGGGTCTCTCTGAATTGAAATACACAAACAATCCCCTTAGGTAGAGTTTGGGCTGCTTACCATTTGGGGCTGGTTAATATCTTTCACGTTAAAAAGCCATGTATTGGACACCTACTTGTCAGTGATGTTGCTCAGCACCTGTTGTAAGATAAGATTTTGTCCCTGGAGAAGTTCCCAGACTTGCAAAAGTATCAGCTGAACACAAGGTTAATGTGTATTTTCAGTGTGTGCTTGGTTCAGAGCAGTGTAGAGTTAGAGAGGTCTACATGTGAGGGGAAGGAGGGGCGAATTGACTAACCTGTGGGGAGTAGGAAAGGCTTCCCAGCAAGGAGGTGGCATCTGAGCTGGGTTGTGATTAATGAATGGTGGTGGTTGTTAAGTGCTGTTAAGTACAACCCATAGCGGCCCTGTGAACAATGGATCTGAACCCTGTCCTAACCTGTGCCATCCTTGTCATCTCTGATGTACTTGATCTCATTGCTGCAGCCACTGGGCACTCCATCTCATTGAGGCCTTTTCTCTCTTTCACTGGTAGTAAGGGGAATTCATCAACTAGTAAGGAGAATTCTGGGCAGAGGAGCCAGCATGAATGAAGGCCAGGAGGCAGGGGGGAATGTGGCATTTGGAGATAGAAACTCATCTGGTAGGACTAAACGGGAGTCTCTTGGGTGGAGAGCAGAAGCATAGCAAGCGAGGGTGCGGTTGGGGCCAGGTTTTATCAGTTGTTGAGTGGCTGCCACACAGAGGTGAATCTCTAGGTAGAGGACAGCCTTTGGAAGAAATGCTGTCCCAGGATCAAGCAGCCTGAAATCTGCTTCCTCTGACAAAGCATGTAAGCGGCGTTCATGCTTCATCCTTTACCCCATGATAGAGAGGCAGTGTGGACCCAGGGACTGAGATGAGGCCTCTCTTTATGGCTGAGGAAGCTTTATAAGCAGGCAGCAGTGCTGATGGAGGCAGAGCGCCAGGGCTTATGACTAGAAGAAGAAGACAGTGTGGTCCCCCAAACAAACTCCTCTCCTGTACCTCCCAGTTCCCTGAAGGAGCAGCTGCAGAGAGCCACGGAGGAGGAGGCGGCTCAGTTGAGAGAGGAGGAAAACCAAAGGCTGTGCCTGCTCCGAGCCCAGGTCCAGTCCAGTGCAGAAGCAGATGGAGAGCAAATGAGGTGAGGATGTCCTGCGAGCTGCCCAGCCCCCGGGGGCCGGCCACTGAGTGCACAGGCCATCCTTTCATGCTGTCTTCCCAGGGCAGAGCAGGAGGCTTCCCTGCAGAGGCTGAGAGAAGACTTGGAGTCTCTGCAGAAGGCTGAGAGGGCAAGCTTGGAACAGAAAAACAGGCAAATGCTGGAACAACTCAGGGAGGAGATGGAGGCTTCGGAGAAGAGGGAGCAGGCTGCTCTGAAAGCCGAGAAGGCGGCGGCTCTGCAGCAGCTCAGGGAGCGCCTGGAAGGAGAGAGGAGAGAAGTGAGTGAGTGCAGTGGGGCCTCACTCTCTGCTGCGTCTGGCTGTCAGGGTGCCTGCACAAGGACTGGGTGGCGGGAGGCTAGGCAGAGCTGGGATCCACGCAGACAGTGGGTGTAATGCCCAGATGCACAACAGTGAGCGGACAGGGCACCTTGCTCTCTGTGGACTTGACTTTCAGGGAATTGCTGCCCTGGTTCCCATGTCATCAGAGGATGATGGAAGGGGCTGAGGGATCCTGCCAGGGCTGTTCTGGGCTGGCAGCAGGCACTGGTGTGGCCTGTGCCAATGAAGCTATTAGAGGTCTGAGGAGAATTGTCCTGTGGACCTGGAGAGATTTCACCACTGAGAGCGCTTAAACTAGACGAGCGGTCTCCAGACGAGAGAGCTCTCCACTGGCCTGTCCCTGTGGGGCAGCTGTCATGACCCCTCCTTGCCTACTATGGAGTGAGAAGGTAGCCCCTTAGAAGAATTTTTTTCCCTTTGTCCTTCTCCCCTCTCTCTCCAATCAGATGATCTGTCTGTAGGTAGCTGCTGAAGAACCAATCAGAGCACATAGAACTTCATGTTTTGTGAATTGTAGAGTTTTTCTTAGAGCTGTTTCAGCTATCAGACAAGGAAACACAGCACAGCAGAGAAAACACCAGTGTACCACAAGTGCTTGAAGGTGGAGTGGAAACACTCAATCTTTGGGTCTTACCTGCGGTCATCTTCTGTGCGCCTGTGGCCTTGCCTGGAAGCGGACATGGAAGTAGTGGGTCGAGTCCTAGCCCCGGTTCCTTCACTGGCTCTTTCCTGCCTCCCAGGCTGTGGCCGCACTGGAGAGGGAGCACAGTGCCGAGCTGGAGCAGCTTCAGTCCTCCCTGGAGGCCAAGCACAGAGAGGTGAGATGCAGTGGCTCTGACCCCACAGGCAGAGCCTACGTGTCGTGGTCCCTCTCAGGGCCCTGAGGGAGGGCGCCTCTCTCCCCTTCCAGGGCTTGGATGCCAGATCCGTGGGAGGTGAGACCCCAGTGAAACAGCTCCAGGGCTCTTAGAGAGTAATGCTCCCTTGTGTCGGGGCGTCTGCAGGTGGTTTCCAGCCTCCAGAAGAAAATAGAGGAAGCTCAGCGGAAGGAGCTGGACCGACTGCAGGAAAACCTTCAGCGGATGGAACAGAAAAGCCACCAGAAGGTTCACCAAGTGCTTGAGTATGAGCAGGAGGTGAATACTGGTCTTATACTTCAGCTCGGGTGTGTTCTTGCCCCATGCTTACTTACAGTCTGCCTACCCATCTCACCTGTGTCCTCTGGTTTGCTCTGGATAGGTCAGTGGGGAGGGCAGGGTGGGTTCCATTTTGATGCCTCATTTCCCTCAAAGTCTGATAGTTTTCCACTCCCATGCCTCTGTGTGTGTGTGTGTGGCATATGATCTGGTGTCATGTATATACATTATCCAGTGGAGGTGTTGATGAGGCACATGCATGCCACATGTGTGTGTAGGCCTTTAAGAGTGTTGGTCTCCTGCGTGCTGCAGCCCTTCCATCTGCCTTGCAGCTCAGTGGTCTCCTGAGAGAGAAGCGTCAGGAGGTGGAAAGGGAGCATGACAGGAGGATGGACAAGATGAAGGAGGAGCATCAGCAAGTGCTTGCTGAGACCAGGGAGCAGTACGAAGCTGAGGTGACTTGGCTTGGTGCCTGACAAACCCCTGGGGTCCTGGGCTGGCTGGGAGGGCAGGGGAAGGGGATGGACTATGGTAGAGGTCGCTAGAGGCTCTCCCTTAACAGGAGTCCCGTGCAGTGCTGAATTGGCTTCTTTTCTCTAAAACATTAGAAAACTCTTCCTGTTAGGAGAATGGCTCGTCCCTCCTGCAGGAAGCACTTTGATTCTTTTAGGAACACTCACAGCTCACATACACTCTGTGCCTGTACACTGCTGTAAGTCTCTTGTATGTATTAACTCGTTCAGTCCTTCAAACAACCTTAGGAGGAACATTGTCTCCATTGAAAAGATGAGGAAATGGAGACTTTAGTGGCTTAAGTAACTTTTCCAAAGTTACATTCAGCTAAAAAGTAGATGCACTAGGTTTCAAGCCCAGGCCTTCTGGCTCCAGAGTATGCAATTTTAACCACTCCATTACCTGCCAGCAGTGATAATAGACATTTCAGGACACCAAGAAATAGTTTGTTGTGTACTGTTGAGTTGGAACAACCATAGCTGACCCTCCAGTGGGTTTTCAGAGGTAGTAAATTGCATAGGAGATTGTCCATCTTAGAGCAGCTGGTGGATTCAAACTATATACCTTTGTGTTGGCAGTGTGATTCCTTTCCACTAAGCCACCAAGCCTGTTCTGTGGGGCAGCTGAGATGACTTTTCCTTTCCTGTTGTGGAGTGAGAGGTAGTGCACCTAGAAAAAATTTTTTCTCCTTTGTCCTTACGGCCTCTTCCTCCAATCAGATGTTCTATCTCTAAGTTAGATGCTGGACTGAATATCAGTCAGACCACATAGAACTTAATTTTTTGCAAAGAGTAGAGCTTAGGGAGCTCTAGTGGTTAGTTGTGCAACCAACCAAAGGCATGTAGTTTGGATCTGCCAGCTCCTCTGCAGAAGAAGGATGGGCAGTCTCTTCCATACAATTTCCTTCCTCTGATTTCTGACCTCTGAAGAGTCAACTCTGAGTTGAGTCTGACTCCATGGTACACAACAAAAGAAAGCCACTGAAATGCCAAGAGACACACTAGCAGGAGCCAAGTGGACTTCAATATTACATGCACTGTTTCCAGTCCTGGAATCTTTGGTTGCTAAGTGAACCCCAACTAACTGCTGGGGGTGACCAGTGGCAGGGTCAGAGGCTCATCTGTAGCCCATAGCTGTCAGCCCAGGAAGCCAGGCTCCTGCTGTGGTATCTGGGGCAGGGATTGCAGACTCTTTCCATAATCTTTCAGCAGAATCCTGACTCAAATGGATTAGGACCTTGTAGAGGAATAGTGGGCATCATTTATTAGTGACCTCTCTTCCCCTGAGGAGAAAAAAATGTGCATGATGGAATGGTAGAAGTTAGGCTCCCAGAGGGAGGCTTTCATGGGATGCTGGATGGTGTCTACTTCAGCTGGGGAGGCAGGTGTCGACTTTTGTGGGGAGAGGACTACGCTGTCTGTACACCCTCTACTGAGGTGCTTGGCAGCTGTCGTGTCTCCGATCTGTGGTGTCCTGACCCCAGCTTGCCTGGAGTGGAGGCAGGGTTTTCAGGGCTAACCAGCACCCTCTTGGTAGGAGCGGAAGCAGCGGGCTGAGCTGCTGGGGCACCTGACGGGCGAGCTGGAGCGGCTGCGCAGGGCCCATGAGCGTGAGCTGGCCACTGCTCGTCAGGGCCAGGAGCAGCAGCTGGAGGACTTGCGGCGGCGGCACCGTGAGCAGGTGATGAGGGGACAGGTGAGGGGTGGGCACAAACGTGTCGTGCAGTAGGACTTGGGTGGGCAGCTTTAGGAGTGGGGTGTTTCACTTGTCCTCCCCAGGCATCCTCGTTCCTCTTTATTTCTACACTGGAGACCATCCCTAGTATTAAGAGGAGGCTGGTGCCTAGGAAGGTCTTGGGGTTTGGCATCTTTGCTGCTCTTTGTACCTGCTGGGGATAAATAGTAGCTGCCATTTTCCTGGGAGGTTTCAGGGAAAATGGTTGAGATTGAGGTATGGTGCTATGGGCTCAGGGACCCTGCTCCCCCAGCTAATGTCCTACGCCCTTTCTCCCCACCTATGCTCCTGTGCAGGAAAGGAAACGCCAAGATTTAGAGGTGGAGCTTGAAACCAGAACTAGAGATATCAAAGCCAGATTGGCTCAGCTGGAGGTGCAGGTGAGGGGGCGGAGAGGAGGACAGGGTCTCTTGGGGTCCTTCTTGACATCAGAGTTAGGACTCCCTGAGGAACGGGAGGCCCCCCACCCCTCAGGCCTGGGCTCCACATGTCAGTACCTCTTCCTCTCCTCACTGCAGGAGGATGCCGCCCGCAAGGAGAAGCAGCAGCTTCTGGATGTGCAGAGGCAGGTCGCTCTCAGGAGCGAGGTTTGTCTGCCACTCTTGGTTGGGGTCTCTCTTTCTCCTTCCCCATCCCTCTGCCTTTGCTCTGTCCCTCTCTTGCTCTTCCTAGGCTCTTTCACTTCCTTTTGTTCACCTGATCTGCCCAGAGCAGTGGAACTCCAGACTCTGTTGGCTGCTGGTCTGTGTATCGGACCCTGTGTGGAGCCCACCTGGGCACCTCAGGGAGTGGGATGGGCGCATGCAGCCTGCAGGCTCCCACCTTGTTCCTTTTCTTCCCGAATGCTCCTGTTCCCTAGCACTGCCCTCTCCACACCTGCGTCCTGCTGTGTCTCCAGGTGCTTCTCTCTTTCTTCCTGCCCCAGGAGGCCTCAGCCACCCGCCAGCACCTGGAGGAGACCAAGAAGGAGCACACCCACCTGTTGGAGTCAAACCAGCAGCTGCGAAGAGTTCTCGATGAGCTTCGGGCCCACAAAATGGAGCTGGAGTCCCAGGTGGAAGCGCTGCAGAAACGCCTCAGGTGTGTTTGCAACTCTGTGGTGCCCACTGGCCCAGAATGGCTTGCCAGGCCTTCTCATTGATGGCGCTCGGGGCCCAGTTCAGGGCCCTGACTTGGGAACCAGGCAGAGGGACTGTGTCAGCTGCTGTGGATGACTTTAACAAACAGAAATCTATTCTCTTACATTTAGTGTGTTGGTGTTGTGTACCATCAAGTTGTAACCAACCCCTAGCTGACCCTCCAGCAGGTATTTGGAGACAGTTAATCGTATGGGAAGAGTTTGCCCATCTTTCTCTCAGCGGGCAGCTGATGGATTAGAATTGCCTGCTTTTGGGATTGCAGCATAGCTTCTTACCACTATGCTATCAGCGGTCAGCACTAAAGACCTTACTGTTTAGGAGGCTCAAAAACTCAAACTCATTGTCGTCAAGTTGGAACTAATTCCTAACTGGTTCTCTACTGTGTTTACTGATACTGTAAATAGCACAAGAGGAGATTGCCCATCTTTTCACCAAGAAGCGACTGGGGGATTTGAACCACCAGAGAGGTGCTATCTTTGAGTTCACAGTGCAACTCACTATGGTTTGCGCCACCAGTACTTCCTTTTAGGTGGTTCAGAAAAACCTCTCAAATTCATTGCTGTGGGAACCACTGAGCCTCCAGTGGGTTTTCACAGGCTGTAAATCACATGGGAGGAGATTGCTCATCTTTCTTTTACAGAGCAGCTGGTGGGTCCTAACGATCCACTTTAGGGTTGGCAGTGCAGCTCCTTACTGCCTAAATGATCAGAACCCCTTTCAGGAGCCTAGAAGTCCAAATTCAAGGTCCCAGACTTAAGGAAAGCCACGTGCGCTCTCTGTCGGTTGTGGAGGAAAGTTCGAGTTTCCTTCAGCATCTGTAGGACAGGCGTTTCTTAGAGATGTCCTGTGTCTTGTGTCAAGGATTTTCCCAGGCAGATGCTCTGCCCTCCTGGCCAGTGTTTTCTGGTGGCCCTGAGGCTAGCTGTCCTCCCTTTCATCTGTAGTGAGGTGAAAGATGATACAGGATGTACCCTTGGGGAGTTCCTCTTATATCTGTCAGGGCTGTCTCACATCCACCTTTAATCCTCTTCCAAATGTTTTTGGCCTATTGCATCATGGGGATTGTTGCATAGCTTCCACATGATGATATTGTATGTATGATTTCTTGGAGGACACAATTCCATTCATAGGCAGTCTGAAGTTCCACCCTGTCTTACAGGGCTGCCATCAGTTGGCATTCACTTGAGGGCAGTGGGTTTTGGAGGTGTGTCAGAGTCCCTAGTGATGCATTTATTGAAACTCTTGTCTGCTAGCTGAAAACTTGGTAGTTCAAACCCTCCCCTCACTCCTCAGGGGAAAGATGTGGCATTCTGCTTCAATAAAGATTTCCAGCCTGTGGGGCAGCTCTGCTCTGTCTTAGGGGGTTGCTAGGAGGTGGGATCTGTTTGATACCAGTGAGTTTTGGGAATGTAGGAGGAGCACTGGTGGTGGAGCTGCTAACGGAGAAGGCAACATCTCAGACCCACTTTACTTTTGTACTGATTGCAGCCTTAGAACCCCATGGACATCAGAGAGGGTAATATGGTTCTCTCTCCTTCAGAACGGCTCAATCAGAATGGACTTTTCAGGCTTTAGTTTTGGTTTTGGTAGTACTGGGGGCCTTGAAAAGCAGGGAACCCCTGCTTCTACTGCCCGTGCCCAGTCCATCTAAGAACACTGACAAGAGTAAAGAATTGGAGATGTTTGTGCTCACTTTTGGAGTGTAGGCCTTGAAACCATGCCCAGGAGCCCAGCAGTGTGGGGTCTGGCCTGCTGTCCTGTGACATTGTGCCATCCGTCCACTTTCCATACCACAGGGGCCTGCACGTGGAAGCTCAGAGGAAGCAGGACACGCTGACTGAGTTGGCAGCTGAGGAGAATAATGCTGCTCCACACTTTGAGCCAGATCTGCACATCGAGGACCTGAGGAAATCCCTTGGGACAGTAAGTGTCTCAGGGTGACTGGGCTTGGGGCTGGGGCAGGACATCAGAGAGGGTAATATGGCACTTTGCTTTCTTTCTATTTTTTGGCACTTTGCTTTCTGTGGGGCCTTGGCATCCTATTTGGATTATTCCCAATCAAATGCTGTTTTAAGAGAACAGTACCTGCTAGCCATCTGGGCTGCATCTGTGTTTAGGCTCCTGGGAGGGGTTTGGGGTCACTTAAACCTACAACTGCTTGCTTTTGAATGACTTTGCTGTGTTCAGTGTGTTTTTTCTTCTGCGTCCTTAGAACCAGACCAAAGATGTGTCCCCTTCTTTCTCTCAGAGCAAGGAGGAGATGGACTTGTCCTTGGACAGGTATGAGAACTGATTGGGTTGAGGGTGCCCTGATAGGTGAGGAGATGCTGCATCTCAGAGCTGGGGGAGCTAACGTTAGGTGACAGCAGTGATCAGTGGGGCTTGATTCAGGAAAGGGGGTTCTGAGGTGCTGAGCAATCTTTAGATAGCCACAGAGCTTCTCAGTGAGGGTCCCCTGCTGACCTCTGACTGCAGGTCAGGCTGATGGACTTACCTGTTTCTCTCTCTGGAGACTTCAGGTGTGATCTGCCTCAGGGTCCAGGTGGGGAGACTTAGTCCAGCTGTCCACACCCTGCAGATGTTGAACTATGGCTTTCCAATAGGATGTCCAGCCCGGCTACTGCTGCCCATGCTAAGGCTGGGCATCTCCTGAGAAAGGCGTTCCTCAGGTCGTCTGTTTTTCATCTTTAATACCTCTGCCCTGCTCTGCTCTCCTACAGCGTCCGGCACTACCTCTCTTCTGAGGGCTTCGCCCTTCGTAGCGCCAAGGAGTTCCTGGTGAGGCAGACGCGCTCCATGCGGAGGCGGCAGGCGGCCCTGAAGGCCGCCCAGCAGCACTGGCGCCGTGAGCTGCTCAGTGGTCCAGAGGCAGCCACAGACCTGCCGGGCACCGATGCCCTGGACGATGTGCGCAAGAACCTGGAGGAGGTCAGGAGCTTCGGAGGACACCGTGACCCTGTGCGGCGGTGGGCGAGGGCCAGGGCACCCAGGGGACCTCACTTGGGACTTACCCTCAGTTGTTCATTCTGCGAACCCCGGACGAGTGGCCACAGGGCCTGGGTCATTGGAGAAGGTTGTCTTGGGAGATAGGGTGGATGATGTAGGGTGTCTGTGTGAGGATGAAAGTACCTTACACACTTTTCCATGGCCACGCGCAGTGTGCAGAACATTTTCTCTAATCATAAATCAGATGATGCTCATGGCAGTCTCGGAAGACACACAAGGTAGAACAGTCCTATCGTTTAGGTGAGGAGCACAGAGGACGTTTTTAAAGTTTCACGTGCAGAGCTTTGCTTCCTGTTCTGTCACGCTGAAGACTGTTCATCAGTATAAATCTTACGAACACCTCCTGCTCTGACTGGGTTGCTTCTCTGTTTTCATCAATTTCCAACCCATCAACATGACACAGGATAGGACAGAGCTCAGATCTAATGCTCACATGACCCAGCAGCATCTAACAGCAGTAACAACTTGCAGTGAATGGGCAGAGACGGGGTGATTGTTGTTCCCTGGGATCTCAGGCTTGAGACCACCTGAGTGTCTTGGCTGTTAGGCTGTCTCGGCTCCCGCCTGGCCCTTTAGAGTCTGAAGGTGCCCAGACACCCTGGCTGACCAGGGGACAGCAGAGGGCAAGTGTTGGTGAAACAGACAGACTGCCCAAGAGTATAGAAGTGAGGCTGCTTTTCCTCACTCAGGTCCTCCTGTTGTTCTGCTTAATCCTTTACGATAAGGATGATGAAGATAGTAATGGTGGTTGAAATAGAAATGATAATAACTATCTGGTTAACAGTAATCACTGGAAAGTTTACCAGGTGTGGGCATAGTATGAAGATAAAGTTTATCAGGTGTGGGCATAGTATGAAGATAAAGCCTATTTTCATTTAATTTCTCCCAGCCCTTGAAAAGTAGTCATATTTTATAGATGAGAAGGCAGACAGAGAGGTTAAATAACTTGGTTCAGATCACACAGCCAGTGGCTGAGCTGGGCCTCCAGTATCTGTGTGTAAGTCGTCACCTTCCTCCTGCCTGCCTTCCTCCCTGACTCCAGGAGACCAGGCACCTGGATGAGATGAAGTCGGCCATGCGGAAGAGTAAAGATCTGCTGAGGAAGAAAGAGGAAAAGCTGAACCAGCTTGAGTCCTCTCTCTTGGAAGAGGTACAGCTCCAGAGACACATGGCTCAGGGTGTCCATGGCCTCCTTCTCCCATTCTGGGATTCGTCTGGGTTGGCGGGCCCCAAGTGAGAGGGGTCTGGGCCTCTGGGCTTGGGGTCCAGCCTGGTGAACATGGCATGGCTTCATCTCTGAGCTGGCTGAGAGCTGTGGGTTTGAATGTCTGTGCTATCAGGACTGGGTGCCCTGAGTGTACCTGGAGGCTCCCGCTGAAGGTGTTTGAGAAGGGGATACAGGTCAGGGTACCTGAGGAGAGATGTCAGTGACCATGCACAGCCACTCCCCACCATTTGTCAAGGAGCTGAGGCATAGATGTGACAGGAGGAAGCACAGGGGAGACACTGCCCAGAGGAGCTGGGCTTCTCTGGGCCAGGTGCCTTGTCACATATATCTCAGGTAGTGAGTTCTCTTGACCTCTCCTTCCTCCACCCCTGACAGGGAAGCCTTTCCCAAGGTACTGTGGATAATTCTGGGCCCCAGAACCTTCTCACCAAACCCTCAGAACCCCACATGTTGTAAGGGCAGTGGCAGGAAACACACAGAAAGTGCTAGTGAGAACGTTTTCCTTTTGCTTGTCAGGCCTCAGATGAGGACACCCTGAGAGGAGCCTCCCCCAAGAAGGTTGTGACCTTTGACCTCAGCGATATGGACGACGTGAGCAGTGAAAGTTCAGAGTCTTCCCTCCTATCTCAGAGTGAGTGGTGGTAGCAGCAGGGAGGTGAAGCAGGGCTGAGGACCACCCTCACTCCAGTGGAGGTGTTTGAGCCAGGCTGTGTCCGCCTGGCAGGCGTGGGGAGGCGTGTATCGTTGGGATTTGGCTACACACAGGGTATGGGCTGAGGGAAGGCATCTGACACCCAGGGGCTCTTCACAGCAAGCAGTATCCCCAATGGCCCACCCATTACCATCTCTAGGGGGCTTGTGCCCCCTTTGCTGCTCTGCCCTGCAGATGGGCAGGAGGGCAGGAAAGCCTCTCGGCCCTGTCTCTCTAGGCCCTGGGCCCCTCCCGAGGCCTCTCCTGGAGAGGCTCACCGTAGTGATCAGCGTCCAATTGGCACTGCCTGGATCACAGGGCCCTGCCGTCCCTCCCCATCACAGCTGAGGGACTGTGGCTGGAGGAGCTGGGCACGGCAGGGATGAGTAGGGGCCTTCGGTGCCGGCGAGGTCTGGGGTCCCTCCATAGCATCTGTTTGATTCGTTTCAGTCAAGCCAACCTCAGGTCCCCAGTTCCCTGACAAGATCCACTACTTGAGCAGTTCCCTGCAGCGGATCAGCAGCGAGCTCAACAGCGTCCTCGGCATGCTGGGCAGCCTCAACACTCAGGCCCCACCACCGCTCTTCACCTCCACACCCGCGCAGCTCTCGCCCGTGGCCCCTGCCTACCCTTCCCTGCCCAGGCTCTCCACTCCGGCCCCAGTTCCACCCCTGAACAGCCAGTGGGCTTGGGACCCGGGGCTGGGCCCCAGGCTCTCCTCCGTTTCTCAGTCGGTGGACGACTTCCTGGTGGAGAAATTGCGCAAGTATTTCCCAAGTAAGCCTCAACTGGGCCCACTCAGCGTCCACCTGAACCACCCTGCCTTTCTCTGACTCTTCCTCTCACTTCCCTCTGTTTTCATCTCTTCCTGTCTTTTCTTCCTTCGTTGCCTGTCCCCTCCTCTATCACCTGTGGCCCCATCTCTTGGGTCTTGGTCCTCATCCTCTGTGGGTCCCTAGTGAAGATGGCCTGGCTCATGACCTGCAGCCACAGGCTCTGTGGGGTCTGGATGATTCCCTCAGCCTGCACTGACTGAGGCCTTGGCTGTGGGTTCTTGAGCTTGACAGAACCTAAACCTAAAATGTCATTGTTGTCGTCAAATAGTTGCCATGTTGTGCGTCATATTATGCACCAGGAATTTTATATACATTCTTAAAATTTAGTGCTTATAATTACAATCCATTCTTCAGTGTTAGATTACAGTACTTCTGATGATTTGTATTTTTAAAAACATACTAACCCATTTATGAGGTAGTAATAATGTTGCTCCACTTTACAGATAGGGAAATGGAGACTCGGGTTACGTAGTATACTTCAGGGTGCCAGTGAGTGACCTCGGTTTCTGCTTGTGTGTGACCCCTGGCTTGTGGCTTCCTCTTGGTCCTGTGCCAGGCAGTCCTCATTGATGCCTTAGTCCTGAGGAGGCAGGGGAAAGGCCACAAAAGAGAGATCCCTTGAGGGGAAAAAGTTTTATCTTGTCTCCCTCTCCACCCAAATTAGAAAATAGGTTTTGGAAGTAAATAGGACAGTTCTTGCCTTTCACTTCTACCCCTGAAACTTGTTCTGGTTTGAGTGTGTTCATTTTTGGGGGACAGAGGGAGGGTTTGGCCTTTTAGGATAAGACCACGTGGCTCAATGCCTGTCCATTTCTGAGTGTTTTTCTCCCACTTTGTCAGCTGGAGTTCCGGTCCTCAGCAGTGATCCTACCCCCCTGGAGAACAGGATGGGTTACGTGTCGGCCAGGTAAGCTTCCGTCTGCACTTCAGATGAGGCTCACAGTCAGGGTGCGTGCTCTCCATGTCTCCTTGGGTAAAGGGCCTTCTGAGGGACCAGACCTCCAAAGAGATCAGGTCTCTAGTCCACAAAGCTGCCCTCACCTTGCTTTCCAGGGTACCCCTCAAAAGCAAAAACATGAAGTTCAATAAAAAGTAAATAACAAATGCTGGTGAAGTTAAGGAGAGATAGGAACTCCACCAGCAGGTGGGAATGTAAAATGGTACAACTTCCATGGAGAATAGTTAAGGATTCCCTTAGAAAATTAGATATAGATAACCTTGTGATTAAGCAATTCCACTTAACTTACTAGGTATATATTCTAAAGAAGTAAGAGCTCTGACACCAACAGATACATGCACATCCAATGCTCATTGCAGCATTATTCACAATAGCAAAGAGACAGAAACAACTCAAGTGCCCAGCTATGAATGAGTGGATAATAAAATTGTAGTATGTTCTTACGGTGGTTCATGCAGCACTGCACACTGTTAGATTCACTGGAGAATCAGTGCTGAATCAGGTAAGTTAACCACAAATGGACAGAGTATAAGACCACTCTTATAACCCAGGGAAGCTCTGGTAGCATCTGCTGTGAATTACACCGCTAGCCAAAAGACCACATTCTCTGGGGGTTCAGACCTACCAGCGGCTTTGTGGGAGAAAAGTGGACAGTCTCCTCCCCTTACGATTTGCAACCTTGGAAATGCAATGGAGCGATGTGTGTAGGAACTGCTCAGTGGCAGTGAGTCTGAGTAAGGAGGGTTTTACATACACAATCGTTCTTGGGTGGGAAGTGAAAATTAGTGACTTGGTAACAGACACATATTAAGATAGGTGAATAGAAAGGCAAAGTGGGGCTGATGAGCACAGTGTCACTAAAGATAGGGAAGACACAGGGATAGAGGATTCACTGAAACCAGAATTACAGGGGGAAAGTGTGATTTCATTGTGGGCATTGAAAGTAATGTTATAGAACAAAGCATGTGTGAGTGGTTGCATGAAAATGAATTTGTAAAGTTTTACTTAAAAATAAAAAATCACAATTTAGCATAATGCTTGGCATAATGCTCTCCAGCCCCTCCCAAGTTAGGTAGTGATTTACACAATCATTGCTCCTGCGTGCTGCGTAGTATCAGTCCCATAAGGACAAACACTGTATAAGACCATTATTATAGAAAAAGATAACTAGTAAAACATGTATGAAAATCAAAGGGAGGGAAGGTGGGACAGTCAGAGGGTTGTGTGAAAAACAATGTATACGGACTGTGAGTAAACCAGTATTTAAAAAAAAAAAAAATTAAAAAAACTAAAACCCACAATTTTAAAAAAACAAACCCTAAAAAGCAAAGGTCAAGTTCACACCCCCAAGATCACAGTGAAGGCAGGGCAGCACGTTTGCTGGCACAGTTCCCAAGGAGGCCACGTGGGCCCATGCACGTGGCCCTTCTTGCTGGCCCCACAGCTCGGAGCTGGCCTTCTTTGCCATTGAGCTCTTTGTCTTCTGCACACGGCTCCGGCTCCCCTCTTCCCTAGTCCTGCTGAGCAACATCTGGCGTGAGAGAGATGCCCCCGTGGGGGAGACAAGACAGGCAATTATTTAAACCTGTTATTAATTTCTCATTCATCTTATTCCTTCAGATGCATTCCCCTCACCCTCCCATCCCAGATTCCCAGCCATAATCCCTCGCAATCCCTTTGTCTATCTTGGAAGTTAATGCTGGGCAAGTATTTGAATCGTTGGGGTGCGCAGGAGTAGGAGCCTGGGGCCCTTGATGTTGGTGTGTGCCCTCAGGAAAGGACCAGAGGATGTTTGCCTTCTTCCTTTGGGGGGGTGATCTCCTCACTTCAGAGAGGCGTTTCAGGGTTAATCTAGAGGGAAGAGAGATCTCATCAGAAGAGGAAGCTTTGAATTGCTAAAGACTTTGAGAAAGACTGCAGCTGGTGTGCCAAGAGGAGGGGGCAGGCAGCGGGACGTGCCGGCCGCGGGGTCTGCCATCTGCGTGTTCCGTCCTCTGGCCCCTCCCCGTCCTTCGCCCTCTGCCCATGTGTCCTTCTCTTCCCAGCGAGCAGCTCCGCCTCCTGCAGCGCCCTTATTCCCATCTTCCTGAGGCGGGCAGCACCAACTTCCAGGGAATGATCGACACTAACCGCAGGTGGCTAGAACATTTCAAGAACGACCCCAAGTCGTATCCTTTTAACTGGTTTCCACTCTCCAGTCACTTCTGTAGAGAATGGGCTGGCTGACCTGGGCTGCGGGCCTGCTGCATGTGCCCTTGGGTTCTGAGGAGGATGAATTTCCGGGATGCTCAGCTGACTATGGAGTTTTCCTTCACCTCCGGGCCAGATGTCTCTTCTCATTGCCCAAGCCCACAGCCACCTCGGACCTGCTGCAGCTCGGCCTGGATAATAACAGGCTGAAGGTGTATCACTACTAAGATCCTGAGTGGCAGTGGGGGGCATCCTGTCTTCTCCTTTGCCCAGACCAAGTGCCTGAGGAGCTGCCTGCACTTTATTCCCTCTGCCAGTCATTCTCCTGTCCCCTCGGCTGCTTGGCCCACCCAGGACTTGGAGAAACCATGTGGGCTGGGTGTGGAGGATGCCAAAGCCAGAGACAGCAGCAAGACTCACCTCTGCTGACTATGGGACATATCTCAGGCTGCACTGTTTTGGACTTTGCTGAGCCACTAGCTTCTGCATCAGTATAACAAAACTGATGATGCGGGTAGCTGAGGGGCAGGCTGGTGGGGAGACCAGAACATGAACACCTTTAGGAAGAAAGGTGGTATTTGTCGAGTTGCTTTGAGGGCAGAGGGGTCCATTTGGAGCCTGATTGGTCAGTTATACCTGCAGGGCACTGCTGGGGGCTGCTGCAAAGACAGTGTTTATTAACCCAACAGGACACAGGCCTTGGCATTGCACACCTGGTGCCAGGCTCTTCTGGGTCCACACCTGTCTCTGCAGGACCTCGGCCTCAACCCTTGATCAGACCCTTGTCTCCTGCTCCTCATCTTCAACACTTAGTTTTTGCTATTGACTCTCAGGATTGGACTCTTCCGCCCTGTTCCCTGTCTGAATAACTTCCCTCTGGGTACTGTGTTTTCCTCAGTCGTCTCTCCACAGAGCCATCCCAGCTAGATGAGAGGTGTCAAGCACACAGCTGCTTCTGGATGCCAAATAGCCTCTCCTAGGACACGAGTATATTTGTGGGTCCTTGTCCACTGATTTTTTCCACTTGGCTCCTAGCACTGGGGTTGCGTAAAAATAATTCCACCTCAGCCTTCCATGTGAGCCAGCCCCTGCCCACCCTGTCCACCGCATTGTGGGCCATTGACTCGGGCTGGCCTGAGTGGTGAGGACTCAGGTCCCAGTTGGCATTGCTTCCATTTTGGCTCAGCTCCTGCGGGCCCCACTTCCCATCCGTGAGCCTCTGGGGGGTCTGCAGGAGATGTTGTCTGACATCTGTCTCATTGTTTCAAATAAAATGCCCCCATTTTTCTTGTCTTTAAAGCCACAGGGTCGCTCTTGGCTCTCCAAAGCAGAATTGACAGCCCACTACCTCCTTCCACTTTTTTCTTTGCCATGGAACATGCAATGAAGAGCCACATTGGCTCCTTGAAGCCCCATCCCCCTTTCTTTTTCCCCAACCTCAGATGCATTTTCAGCTCCAGCCTACTGCACAGAAGGTCCATTTTGTTGTTTGGCTCATCCTGTGTGCTTTGGGAATAGCTCATGTGTTACAATCAGCTCTGGTGACAATCCTCTGTTTTCTACATCAATTAAAGCAGGTCCGTTTTCTACAAGGCAGGTATGAGTGTGTTTTTCTTTTTGGAGCCCTTTACCTCATTCCTCCCTCAAGAAGGGAGGAAAGAAAAGTTAATATTCACGCAAGACCTCTTAATGGATTTGGTTTATCGCCATAACATGCACATGATATTGATATTTTCAGCTCTTTTTATGGAGGAAGAAAGAAAGGCTCAGAGACCTTGAAGGGCCTGGGTCACAGTGAAAACTGAGTTGTATCCCTGTGTCCTTCCACAGCTTCCCCTCAGCTTCCTCTCCCCAGCCGCCAGCCCTGTGAATTGCAGAATCTCCGGGTCTCATGTCCCCAAGGGCCAGTTGACGTCCTCTCCCCCCTCCCCCACACCCCAATGCAGACAGGTGAAAGATAAACCCTGTGAAGTCCTGAGCTGGCACTTAGGTGGGTTTCTGTTCCAGGGATGTGAGCAGTCTTTGTACAGTCTTGGATTTGTTATGACAAATTTTCTGGAGGAACCAGTTGAGGGGGGCCTGGTTTCAAGGATTCACATAAGAAAAGCAACCTAAAAACAAAATACCCAAAATAGCTGAGTCTTTTCTGTGCCCCAGTAGTACCCTGGCAGCTCTGGTCAAAGAAAGAGAAATCCAAGTGATTGAATGCTGCCTTTGAATCAGTGTTGATACTATCTCACACACTTGGCTTACCCTACAGAAGTTCATATCCTTGTTTTATAGGTGAGTACATTGTGGCTCAGAGACGTTACAGAGCTATGGCCCAAGGTCACACACTAATAATCCAAGTTTGAACTTAGACCTTTCCGTCTCAGACAGTCCATTCTCTTGACCAGGCTCCCCTATATTAGCACCTCCTTTCCTGGCTCTCAGACCAGTACTGACTGGCTTGACCTGAACCCTTGTCAGTCAGGAGAGTGGTCCCCATGAGCAAAGCCCTCTGAGGCTTGTGTTTGCTAAGGGACTTTTCAGAAGACTGCACTGTTCCATTGCTCCCCAGGTGAGTTTTGACGCTAGCTGGGGAGACTAGTGTTGTAGAGCTCTGAAGCAGAAAGGACTTTGGGGATCACTGGGTCAGCCCACTCATCTTTTATATTGGAAGAAACAGCCTTAATAGACATGCGCTTTGCCCAGAGTTACAGTGTGTGGGTGAGGTGACACCAGCCTAATCTCCAGGCTGGGGCTCAGGAAGGAGTATTCTAGAATGCTAGCGAATGTGTTTTCAATAGTTCCACGTTGACGTGCTTTAGTACTGTAATGGTAGAGAAGTCTCTCTCTGGCCATGAGACATTTAGTGCTGCTCCTGGAATCTAAGAAGTCATACCAGATTCTTCGGGAAATTTTACACAGAGACAAGAAATGACATTATTTTGATCCCTCTCTCCCATTATTCCCAATTTTGGATCAGATGGTTTCTCAAAACTTTTTTGAAATATTGACTATTTTCTTGAAAGGAGCGGTGTTGGAAGTGAAGACAGCACACACAGATACACACACTCCTCCAAATGCATTGCCGTAGGGATTGGGGAGATAACCCCGGCTCAGGAGCCCTGGTGGCAGTGTGCTTGCTACATGTTATGCTACTAACTGAAAGGTTGCTGGTTTGAACCCCTCAGGTGCTCCATGGCTTGGAGATAGGCCCTCTCTCCATGGGGGAGAGATTTACAGCCTTGGAAACCTGGTGGTGTGTCGCCATGAATTGGAACAGACTTGATAGCCGTGGGTTTTGAGTGGGGACACTTCCACTTACGTTTGATTCTCAGCATTTACCAGCTCTGTGATCTGATCAAGTCCTTCTAGGTTTTAGTCTCCTTCCTGGTCAAAATCTCCAAGGTGGAATAGAGGCTCCAGGGACGGTGTGTGTGTGTGTGTGTTGGGGGGTGACTGCCACCTTCAGTGTTTCCAGGGAAAGCCTTGGATGAGGGGTTGTCTTCATTGAAAGGGGTACTGAGAAGCCTCCAGTGGTTTAACACAGGTGGGAAGGGTGCTGAGCAGGCTTGCTGGATGCACCGCCTGCCATCTGGGGGTGGGGGAGACGTGCTGATAACAAATGGACTGCTTGCAGTCCCTGGTGTCCTGAATTCCATAGTCTGCTTGTTCCCTGTTTCCTCCTGCATCTCACACCGTCTTCTGTTCCACCTTTGAATTTACAGTCTCCAGCAGGTTTGTGTCAGAATGCCACATGCATGTCAGTTTGATACTTCGGCTTGATGAACAACCTCCACAACAAAAGAGAAAGACACACACCTGCTTTTTCAGTTCCTGTTAGTTTGAAAACCTAAGAATGCACTATTTTCTCCCCATTGGTGCGTCATGTGAGCCAGTACACCCATTAGCAGTGACCTTGTGCCTACCAAGTGCACCCACTGAAATGGGAACTTTTAATTTATTTGAGACATACTAATACTACCTTTCAGAAAGAAGAAAAGTACTGGCACCCCAGTCATACAGAGCATGTCTCACACCCATGTGAGTAGGGGGATAGTTGTCGTTCTGTGCCGTCAAGTCGCTTGCAACTCAGCGACCGTTCTATCCTGTGCCAACCTTGCTGTCTCAAACACAGTCATTCCCACCACTCCACTCACTCTCGATCCATCTCATCAAGAGTCTTCCTCTCCTGCACTGTGCCTCCACTCTCCCAAACATGATGTCTCTCTCCAAGGACCAGTCCCTCCTTGCAGCATGCCCAAAGTATGTCAGATGAAGCTTCAGAATCCGACTACAGGGAGCATTCTGGCTTCACCCTCTCCAGGAAAAACCTGTTTGTTCACCTAGCAGTCAATCGTATATGGATATGGGGGATAGTAGACATCTGTAAATATGACTTTCAGTGATCTTAAAATTTGCGACTATTTTAAAAATCAGGTGAAGTGATTCTCCTTCAAATAGCCCTTCCTTCCCGGACAGCAAGTATGTACACACACAGCAGAGTTCTAGGCTCCCTTTTGGGTTGGAAACTGCCTCTGCTGGGCTGAACCCCAAAATTTTGCTTTGAGGTTATCTCACTCCACCCTAAGGAGCCCCACATGTCCTCCGGAGGCCCCAGTACTGGAGGGTCCAGTACCTCCTACGTTTCCCTTCCAGAGCCTCTGCAGCTCAGAGGACTGCCGAGCACTTCCCAGCAGGCCCAGGTTGGGTTCCCAGAGCCCTTTGACATGGAGAACAGGCGCTAGGGGCTGGATCTGAGGATGCTGGTACCTCCATGGTGACAGGACTAATGACTGCAGTTTGTTTGGACTTCAATGCTTGGGACATGAAGGCCTATGAGGAAGGATGTTGGCTGCTGGGGATCTTTTCTCTTTGATTGGGTGTGATTAACTTGTTCGTTTTCTCCTTTCTTTATTTGAATGAAGTAAATAATTGTTATCCCACCCCTGTGTCAACTACTTATCTCAGACTCCCACCCTCTACATAGGGGGACTGGATCTAAGATCCTGATCTTGAGAAAGCTCTTCTGGGTTATCCATCCTCCTGGCACCCAGCAGTGTCTCAGCAGCAGCCTCCTAACCAGGCAAGAAAGGCTGTTTGGTCTGTGATGAAGCGATTGTGGATAAGCACCATGGTGTGGGAGGGGTCTTATGTCCTCAGGAAGCTTACATCTCCCAGCTCAAGCAGAACATGGTGTAGGCTTTTCTCCTGGCTTTTCACGTTCTTTGGGATAGGAACG